CGTGGCCTTGGGCAACCTGGGCTGGTGGGAGGTGTCCCTGCCCATGGCAGGGGGGTTGGAACTTTATGATCTTCAAGGTCTTTTCCAACCTAAATCATTCTATGATTAACCTGCAGGGAAGCCAGACTGCTGCCAGAGGGAATGTGGGGTGGGAAGCCAGGCCCTTACTGTTGAGGATGGAGAGTGTGACGTTTCTGCCTGCACTGTAGGAGGACCTGGAAGTTCCATTGGAGCAGGGCAGTCTTCCGTGAAGCGCCTGAGGCTCCTTCAGCCACAGCGGGGCTGCTGGCTCAGCCCAGGGGGCCAGGCACCACTGCCCCTTCCAGTCCCAGCCCCGGCACCCAGCTGTCCCCAGGGAGCCATGGATGGAGCCAAGTCAAAGCCCCACTGGGAGCAGAAGTGACTACTCCCAGTCCCCAGATGGATGAGCCCCCACAGGGGGCCAGCTTGCAGAGGACACCATAGCCAAGGAGTTCATGATCTTGAACAGGCCATGTCTGCTCTATTGGACCTTGTACTTAGGGCTTGAGAAGCACAGTACGCCATAGTACTGGCCCATATAGCACCTGCCTGAACTTGCCTGTATCTGGAACTGCAGCAAGAAGTTCTCCTGTGAACATGCTTTATGAATAGGTTTTCTGTTTTCTTCTAAGCTACATTACCTCAAAGGACCCAAAAGGGAGAAGTCCGTTGAACTCTGCCTGCAGGCAGGGTGCCCAGCATCTGAAGGTATGTAAGATATACTTGCTGTCTGTATTCCTCTTCTTATTCTGTCTTATTAAGTTAGTTAATTATTAAGGTGTTTGTTAGCTGTCTCCCTGCTTGTGGGGCACCCCAGGGAGGGATGGCAGGAGCTGTGCAGACAACAGTGCTCCAAGAAGCTGGCACAGCAGGTCTATAGGGAGGTCAGGCTCCTCCATAGGGGCCTGGGAGGAGGCCAAAGTCTTCTGCACTCCTTGGAAGACAACCAGGCAAGGGAAGTTACTGAAGATAGAAAGCCAATTCAGCACTCATGGGTGCACAGACTTGCTTCCCAATAGCTCCGTGTCTGGACACTTCTTCCAAGCCAGGGTTTGCTTGGCTTTAGGCCTATTCAGAAAGCTGGTTTATTCAGAGTTAGAACCAGGTGTTAGAACACCCCTGTTTTGGGATGACTTCTGTGCATTTAGTGACTGTGCAAGCCACGTTTCAGCCACAGTGGGGACCTCTGCATGCAGAAAAGCCTGACATCATCTATTGTGCTCAGGCAGCTGAAAAATCCCAATAAAGAAACCATGCAATGTATTATAGGGTAGATACTCTTCCAGTGAAACAGCCCTGCGTGATCTGCAGTTCATGGCTAATCACAAGTGCTTGTTCTCATGCCAGCCTTTCTTGGTGTGTTCTCTCCCATACCTCTCATTGTACTAAGCAAGTACTGAAATAAAAGCTGAGGAAGGATATGCTCTTTTAGGCATCCTTCCAGGAGAGGCAACTCAGACCACCCAAACACCCTCGGGTGCTTTGAAGGCATATCAGCCCCAGCCCTGACATAAAGTGAATGTGATAACCTTTTTTAAAAGAAAAGAAAAATATCCAACATACGAGTCTCAAAACTTATTTTTAAAATATGTATTTAAAGAACTAAGACTACAGCAGGCTTCTTCAGAAGAATATTTGTACACTTGGTCTTTCAGAAAAAAAAATATGACAACTGGTTCCTTGGCATATGCACTTTGCACAGTTCATTCTAATGCAGCCAAACAGATGTTAAAGCTCACCGTGATCTTCTCTGCACACGGAAATACAGTAAAAGCCCTGGAGACCGGTGGGGTTAGGCACACACTGATGTCATGCAGATTCAATTTGAAGAACATCATACAACTAGCAACTCGTATTGCTCCAAAGTTTGTTCCCTGGCACCAGGTTTAGACAGCTCAAGTGTGTCCGAGGTCCCCATGTCCTGTGTCCCTGTGTGCAGTGTCATAAGGCACTGAGGAGCTGTTAAGCAACACTGCACGTAGGGACTTCAGAGAGACCAGCAGCCCTGAGGTGTGTGAGCTTCTGAATCAAAGCCATAGTCAGATACGTGGTAACAAGAAGGGCATGAACTTTGAGGAGACCTGGTTAGGAAATTAGTTTCATGGCTCCAGGCCAACATTAGTAGCTAAGTTTGTTTCCAGTGGTGCATAGCCAGAATGAGTCCAAGTTCAGGGATTCACAGGAGTTAATCAAATGGGGGTCTCCAGAGCCTACCAGGGACAAGCTATACTATGAGCCTAAAAAAGTGCAAGCCCCTCATTGGAGAGGCGGTTGGAAGAGCTGACCGAGTTCTTCAGATGCTCAGCAACACTGTAGGGTGTGGGACTTCCCAGCAGGTTTCTGGCAGTATATCCCCTTGCTCGGCAGCTGTGCTGTGGATTACTGCACCAGGCAAGATGCACATCAGCTTCCAGTATTGGCGCTTAAGCCTGGAGCACATCTACAGCTAAGCTAGACACATAGTGTAACCATTGGTGCTCCTCTAAGTAAGCTTCCTGAGAGACATGACTGAAATTAAATCTAAATTACAAGTTTAATCACCATTAATGAAAGACTTTAGAAACAGGCAAAAGTGTAACCTGTGGGATACATATGCCCTGAACACAAGCCAGCATGCCCAAAGCATCGCGCAGCGCTCCCCTCGGCACGTATGACTTCTCTAGTTATCTGGAGCTTGGGAGGCTCCAGCCTCTCCCTCATGGCTGCACTTTAGAACTTGAAATCAAAAACTTTTTCCGACACAGAAGATTGCCCTGTGTCCAGGTCCATCGCTCATATTCCTTTTCTTCCCGAGTGTGAAGATGGCGTATCTGTCCGAGGAGTTTGCTGATCAAAGGCACAGATTTTTAGTAGGCACGTTCTGAATGTACAAATAATTGTCAGAGTCCTCAAATACTTTCTTAAAATGGAGAAGCACTTCAGCTCTGTGTGGCTGGGAATAACTGGAAACATCAACCTTGCCACACTGGCCAGACCAACAGTGTCTTCTGCCTGGAGAACCTACAGAACAGGATTGACATTGTCTAAACCACAGCTCCAGCTCAGACAAGCAATGGGAGGGCTGACATGATCATAATTCCCAATGTTATCCCTTAACCAGTGGCCTTTCTTTCTCCACTGTCCCTCCTCTGTGTAGCTGCATCTCATACTAAATCCTTTCTTCATCAAATATGAGTACTTACAGTGGCTATTAGTGATGTATCAAGCTGTAGCCATCAACGGTGGCATAATCAGCCTCACCTGAAACACAGAGCGCAAAAAAATTATGTCTGCTCATGGGAAGTGCTCTTTACGAGACTACACAGGACAGAAACACCCTGCACTGGTGACACGTATTAAATGGATGGGAGGCAGGGGTGAATGAAGCTTGAAGAGGTTTGCCCGAGAGCCAAAGCAGGACCTCATTTTACTGAGTCCCGCTGCAGTATCCCACCACTGCCTTGGCACTGGCAATGATACAGCTTGTGCTCCTGAAGCAGAGAAGGTCCCAAACTGCAGAGGCTTGTGGGATCCCAAGCTTAGACATCCTTAAGCTTCAGAAATGCCTACACAGAGGGCTTTGATCAGAACTTCTCCTGTGTGAAACCTTGCCTCCAAAGTCAGCACCCAACTTCCCAGCATCTTCCAGTGGAGACCAGGCTTACAGAAGGAGCTTCACCTAAAGGAATCCCTTTAGAGAGCTAAAGCTCATGCCGGAATGCAGAGGAGCAAGAGCAGAGAGATCCTTTCTGGGACCAGAAGCCCCATAAAGCAAGCAACCCACCTGGCGCACTGGTCGGGGTAGGCAGAGGTCCTCTCCTGCACAGAAGGAAACACAGAGTTGAGGATCTGCATGACCACAGGGCTCCCATTGCCCTGCACTCCCCAGCTTCCCTCACAGAGCTGGTGGGAGGGCAAGAGGCTTGGACAGCCTGGGCTTTGTGGAGACCTGGTACAAAGGCATGTCATGGTGGGCTCACCACCAACACCTTCCTTGGCAAACATGGGAGTTGAAGCTGATAGTGTGGGAGAGAGGAAAAAATAACCAAAAAGCACTAAGTTGGGGAAACACTCACAACTGAGCTTCAGGGCATGCCTTTTTGCATGCCTCCGCCTAGAGTGAGACATCAGGAAGCCATAATTGTACATGACTACCTCTCCCAGTGTGACAGCCAAAGTGGCATACTCATCTTTAGCATGAGTCTTTAGCCCTGAATCCTCATCTTTCCCCCAGCAGAAGCATCCTTCACCCTGTCCTCCCTGCCCAGCTCATGTCCCAGAGGAGTGAACTCAGCTTTGCTGTTGTTCCCTCTACCCACACAAGTTTTTAACTGATCCATCTCTCCTCAGATAGACGATGTGGAGAACCGTGCAAGGAGACCCAGCAGGTTTCATTGTGGTATCAAAGGCTGCTCTAAAAGGGAGCTCAGATTGTTCCCAGAGAGAGCAAGACATGAAATTCAGTATTCCCCAGGCTGTCTTGCTTTTCTGCTAAGCACTGCAGCTCCTCACCTCCATGCAATGGACTTCTCGAAGAAGCTTGGTACCAGAAAAAGTGAGCACACCCTCACCGCAAGCACTTTCAGAATAATATTCCCACCCATGAGAAGGGAAAAATGACCCTAAAAGGGGGAATGGAAGCTTCTGACTGGGCTTGAGGGAGTCCTTGAAGAGCTTATAATAGGCAGTACATTGGCATAACTTCTGCTGTGGAGAGTGTTGGACTACATGGCATCATTTTTTTGGAAAGCATCATTTGCAATAGCAATTGCAATTGTACATCCCTTACCTTGATATAGCTACAGGAACTGGGCTTCTCACAGGAGTTGCATTTCTCTGTGTATTATAGTAGTTTTCATAAGCAACAGGAGCTAGGAAAAGTTAATGATAGTAAAGCACAGACCATTAATAAACATAAACTACTTGTCAACACCAACATTCACCTGCTAAATCTTTCCTCTCTCTGGGAAAATGCCTGATCTTCAGGGGCTGGTGATAAGTGGCAAAGACTAGTGCTGTATGCCAGTGAATGAAAGGAGGGATGTTGCAAAATCAATGTTTTTTGCACCTAAACTGTTGCTAGTCAGAGCAGCAGCCCCATAAGGAGTATAAGGAAGTCAGCACTACTTTGTGGGATTATACTGAGCTCTTACCTGGGGCCAAACTTCCAGTTTTGCGTAAATTTACAAAAAAATCAATGTCCTTCTCAATGCTGCACATCTCTAAACTCTTGCGGATTTCCTCGTATTTCTGCAAAAGGGGAATAAAGAGCATTTCTATACATCAGGTCAAAAACCAAGAGGTTTTATTCCAATCATTTATCACACATGGGGTGAAAGCCCAGTGCTCAACCAGAACACTAGCTTCAGTGGGAATCATGGAATCACAGAAGGGTTTGGGTTGGAAGGGACCTTTAAAGGCCATCTAGTCCAATACCCCTGCCACGAGCAGGGACCCCTTCAACTAGATCAGGTTGCTGAAAGCCCCATCGAACCTGACCTTGAATGTTTCCAGGGATGGGGCATTGACCACCTCTCTGGGCAACCTGGGCCAGTGTCTCACCACCCTAAAAAAACGTGGGAATTCCAAAGGAAACCTCATCTGCAAGAGCTCTGGCCAAAACCTTCTGCCTGGACACTCATGCTGGTATCTGGTGGCCGATCAAAGACCACAGCCCAAATCAGATATAACACAGTTCAGTGCGCAGGAAAGCAAATTGGGCTCTGCTTTCCGAACAGAAAAATGACGTACCTCATCATTCTGGACACAGTCCTGGGAGAGCTGGTTGACATGAAGCCAGAGGGCATTGCGGAAGTAGTTTATCCGCTCACACTCCTGAGTCTCGAAGAACTGTAATGACACAGACAAAAATGCCCTAACATCTTTAAAACAAAACCAAATCTCTATCCTGAACATTTCTCATCCCCAAGTATCACCACAAAGATGACTGTCCTCAACAAGGAGCAGGTGATAGTGGTCTCCTGTAGGAAACACGGAAACCATGAGTGCTCCAGCTTGTCTAGAGAAGAAACCACACCTCTACACAACCAGGTATTTCAAAGATGAGCGTTAAGCTAGGGGCGGTCTGCAGGACCAATGTGGAAGGGGTCACTCAGCAGACCCCTACCTCTGGGAAGACCAAGCAGCTTCCTAAAGGCAGTGGATATTCCCTAGGCACCTCGAGGTCCTGTGGACCCAGCTCACTTCCCTCCAGAGGAAGAGAAGTACCCCTCCAGGGTACAGAGCAGTAAAAAAGCACTGGGGATATATGAAAACAGAGGTGTATTGACTCGTTGGTCTTCTCCCTCTTTCCTGTCCAGCCCTTTTCCAAGCAGGTTTAAACACAAGTCTTTTGAAATCTGCTGTCTGGTATACCTCAATTTCACATGCCTTTACGCATTTCCGTGAAAGATAGCCTTTCATCCCAAGCGTACATATGCACTTGTTATCAGCTATGACCTTTGTAACACACCAAGGGGAAAACCTGCAGGTGATCCATCTGTGGAACCGAAACTACTGCTTCCCACACTCCACCATCAGAGAGGCTTTTGGAGACCGCAAACACCAAAAGCACACCAGCACCGAGACACCAACACACACCACACAAAACAGACAGCAAATTTCGTTTCAAAAGGAAAAAGTAAAACAGAGGCCTGATGAGAAGTAGCTTGGGAAGGGATCTGCACAGCTGGGAATGGGAAGGTTGTTTGCAAGCTTGCAGCAGGCCTGGGGTAAAACCTGGATCTCTGCAGTCCCTGTCCATCCCTCCATCACAGATCACAGGCAGCTGCAAGACACAGGTCAGCAGCAGAGCAGTGGCATGGTCCTCTCACCACCAGCTCTGGACTTCCCCAGCACACGCTGGAAATCCTTGCTAGACCACTTCGCTATGAGACAGTCTGCTTTAGGCTGATACAACCACTCAGAGGGATTCCCATGCTACCATGTGGTCTGTGAGATACCAGGTGAAGGGCTCCTGGTGCATGGGGATGGCTTCACCTTGCCTGCGTCCCCAGCCCGCAAACAGCATCTGCTGCAAAGTCATTTGAAGTCTTACAGAGTTTCAGAGTCTGCTGGGTGTTGTAGCAGCTACAGCACATATTGGCCTCAAGCCCCCAGGTGTGCAGAAGTGACCATGACTGTGGCTGTTCAAGACGGTGGCTGCACTGAACATGCAGGCAGGTAACAGGCAAAAATGTCACTACTTAGTGCATTTTAAAAGGTGGTGGAAGAAAAACAAAAATAGTGGAAACCTTGAAGTGGTAGGACCTCGAATCCAGAAGCCAAGTGTGAGACACACACAGGGTTAGCTGCCACACATCTTGCTACTTCACTGCCCAGGGGAATACACAGAGAGCAAATTTGCGCCATCCCTGACCCTTGCAGCAAGAGATGGACATCCAGTGGACCACAGTGCCACGTGAAGGTGTTTCGGGGCATTTACCTCACAAGCTTTGATGTGCTCTTTCTGCCATTCTTCCCGGATCTTCTCCAGTGTGGTAACACTCTGCTGGTAACTCCTGTCTGCAAAAGAAATCACATTGTCATCTGATTAACATTAATTTAAAAAATACCCTTTGCTAGAAGGTAATGTCTGAAGTCCAAAATGGACGTCAGGGAGAAAGCAGCCGTAACAGCAGCTCAGCTGTGTGGGGGTATTGCAAGGGGATGTGGAGCCACATATCAAGGCGGAGGGTCATGCAGCAGTGAAATGGTGGGAGTAGCCTTGGTGGGGCCATGCAGGCTTCTCCAGGGCAGGTGCCCACCTGCAGTATCTTGAGCATGTGTTTCTGAGGAGGACAAGGAGCCATAGAATCACAGGATGCCTCAGGTTGGAAGGGACCCTAAAGATTATCTAGTTCCAACCTCCCTGCCATGGGCAGGGACATCTTCTACTAGACTAGGTTGCTCAAGGCCCCATCCAACCTGTCCTTGAATAGCTCCAGGGGTGGCTCAGCCACAGCTTCCCTGGGTAACCCGGGCCAGTGTCTCACATGCCTGACCTAAGAGCTGGATCTCGCCCAAGAGTCATGCCATGGCTTCAAAACCCCCTGCCCTGGGAAATGCTCCCCTCACCCTCCAAGCACTGCACTTCCACACTCACCAGAGTCCTCCAGAGCCGACTTTGACTGAGCCAGCTTCAGGAAAAGCTGCAGAAAAAAAGAGAAGAAAGGTAGAGGAGAGCTCTGGTGCATCACCAATGGCTCTGCAGCCCAACTGGGGAAAATCACCAGCGCTCCCATCTCACCCCAAAAGCCAGAGGTGGGAGAAGAGCCATGGGGCAGGAGAGCTGCAAGATGAGACACGCCTTTCGCCCCCTGTCCCATGGCCACTCGCCTCTTCATACCTTCTCCTGCTGCTTCTGTGTCACCAGGTTGGCATTGCGGTGCACAGCCTGTTCCGCCTCGTCCTTATCCCTGCAGCGCTGCTCGTAGAGCCGCTTGGCCTAGGAGAGCCACCAAATGGGGCAGGAGTGTGTCAGCAAGCAATGAGATGCAAATACAGCTCATGGGGAAGGCTTTGGAGGAAAGCACAGCCTACGAATGAAGAGGTGGGCGCAGCCTGCCAGCAGAGCAGGGGACAGCACGGAAGATCCCAGATGCCCTACTGCTTGGGCAAAACTGACCTCACAAGACAAGCTGCTCTTCGTTTCGGATGAAAAGCTCATGGCAATCAAGTTGTCCTGGTTTGAGGACACCTAAATCACTCGTATCCAACCCTTCAAGGCTACCACCAGCCTTGCATACCCTTCAGTTTTTGAGGACACCCTGCATACCCCTCATGCAGATTCAACGTCAAGAGTTGCAGCAGAGGAGGAAGACCCAGGCATTTAAGTCGCCCCAGCACCATATGTGTGCATGTTAGCAGCATTAACCCATACGGCAACAAACAGCAGCACCTCCATGCTTTACCTCCATGGTCTTCTTGTACTGCAAATTCCTGTTTTTGTGAATCGCCTCCATTATCAGCTCTATCTGTGGAGAGAGCAGACCCAGAGTCAGCACATCACTGACCATTGAAACTTCAGGGTGCACTACATGGCTTAGGAAAGGAAGAGGCACGGACCAGATTGAGATGGGTTTAAGGGTCTTTGTCCACCAAAAGCATCTTCACAAAACCCATCCTTTATGCTTCTATCTAAGCCTCCACTTGTGTATGCAAAGGAGCTCTACAAATTGAATCCTAGCAGTATATAGTACTGTATCATCTCTGTAGGGTCTGGCAAATTTGGGAAGCCCACTCCCCTCTGCTATGTCCAAACCAGCCCCTGGTTCTAGCAGTTTTCCCTCATTTTCCAGACAAAGGAATGACAAGCCAGAAGAAGTTAAAAAGTTTTAGCAGACCCTGTGGAGATCATACAGCACTATATGTATGCTTTAAAAACACCCCTGTTGAGGCTGGCGTCCCTGAAGCTGAGCCCCTGCTTATCGCTGGCCCCAAAAGGCACCCAAAGGAGAAGACGCGTTAGTGAGAAGAAGGAAGCTGGAGGTTGCCACGCAGTTCACCAGCACGGTTGCAACACGTAGGAAAGAGCTCGGGACTTCCCAGCAGTGTCACGGAGGGGGCTGGGGCACTGAAGGAGACGCTAGCCAGGAGCAGCCCATTGCCACGGCAGGATCAACACCCTGCGGCAAAGATGCGTGCTCCTGCGGCACCTGACCTTTTTGCGATGCAGTTTTTGTTTTTCCCTGAAGTCCTCCATTTTCTTTGCTTCCTCCCGAAGGGTTTGCGCCAGCTGGATGTGACCTTGCCCCACATTGTCTATCTCTGCAATGAAATAAAATTTAATATATATATATATTCTTGAAAAGACTCTGTTGCTCAAGTCAACTATTGTAGCTGAAATCAAACTGACTCTACATCATACACCCCCTTGCAGAAACAAGCACACTACAGCACCTCAATGTCTGTCTTGTGGTGGGGGGCCCAAAACTGAACACAGTACTCGATGTGCCAATTATTGCGTATGTGTGTGAAGAGAGCAAGGCAAGCCAGTCCAACAAACTCCAGACAATCTTCCCATGCACAGCCTCTGATGTACAATGCAAGCACGACTTCTGAACTGCAGCCAACCCCAAAAGCCTAAGAGATCCCCAAAGGGATGCCTCATGGGTCTCCTCTCTCGCCCGTGCCCTGGAGCACCCCATCCCAAACCCTTTGCACTGAACTGTGCCGGGCCAGGAGGACAGCCTATGCCTGACTCCAGCATCGCACTGTTTGGAGGTTTCTCTTCTATTTTGTTCCCAAGAAGTTGCCTGCAGGCTTTGGCGCTGCCAAGTATCCTGACAAACACAAAGAAGAAGAGTTACTTACGTTGCTTGAAAACATCCAGGGATCTCTTCAGCGTGCTGAAAAACAGGCAGAGCATTAAAAAGAGTGGGAGAGCACAGCCCAGCACAGGCATCCGCAGAGCTCCTCTCCCAAACCACATAGCAAGTCCCTCATTCAACAGCAGCCAAAGTAGCTTGAAGCAGGTTTATTTACCCTCCTTACACCTCCATCTTTTTCCCTCTTGATGAGTGTAACACAGCTTACTTTACATGTTTCCAAACATTGGATGCTATTAAAAATTCCGAGTTTCATGACAAATATTTCAGGCAACCTCCTAAAAGTATCATTTGGGACATATGAACACCTTCTACATGGTGAATTGGCCAGTGGTTGGAAATGTAGGGAACTTATGTCCCTCTTAATATTGCATAATAAAGATTTCACAAACATTTTATGTGACAACTCAATATAAAACTGTAAATAAATGATCAGAGAATATCAGACCAGGCATGTATAAAGTATAGAAACAAAGCAGAAAGCAGAAGGTGCCAAGGGTCACTAGGGAAGTGGAAACCCACTCAGCGTCTCCCCTGCAGGGTGGTAACACACTGGGCTTTGAAGATTTGCTTGGTTGGTTTGAGTCAAGGAATTACCTGTACTTCCCTCTGGCCACAAAAGAGTAACGAACCCAAGGTCTCATGATCCTCGAACCTTCAATGAACCACCAGCCCACATCTCGCCTGAGCACCTATAATGTTTTGGTTAGTTTACGGCTGGTGGGAATTTGGTGGAGTCAAACTTGATTATTGGCAAAGGCCAACCCAACTGTGCATTGTTCATTCACAAGAGTGATTTCAGATCATCTTCTTGTACCATCTGTTTTGTCTCTCACAGCTCCTTTCCTTCTCCTCCTCTCTTGTTGCCCCAAGTAAGGACACCCATAAAGGTAAAACACACTCAGGACTGTGAACTTACTTCAGCTCCGACTGCCCACAGGGCTTCTTCTTTGACAAGTTAATGAGCTCTTTGCCATATTTTTCTTCTATAATCGCCCTGTTGAGGAAAGAGAGAAATTAGATGAAGTTCTCATTTCAGATACTTGTTTGCAGCAGAGGCCAAGAGCCGCTCTTAACACCTTCCCTATCTTCTGGCCTGCTGCAAACTGACGGTGGACAGTTGGCTGAAGGAAGACTGTTACTTCCAGTTACCTGGCAGCCTTTCTAATGAAAAAAGACTTTGTTTTGCTGTGTCTGTGGTCTCAATGCATTCCTCTCCCATCTCTCTGTGGCCAATGGGTGTAAGGACCACCTTGTCAGGAGACGGAGGACTAAGTAGCTCTGGTGGCTAGATACAGCCAGGTGAGGCACCTGAGTAGTTTTTAGCTCAGTTTCCTATGGGAACGAGGCATGTGTGATCACGCATTTTCTGCATCTCGGCCATTAGCCTTTGTTGGTCCGTCTGCACAAAGTACTTTTGAATCTGATTTGGCTGGTTTAAACCAAATGTGACAGAAGGGAGCCACCAAAGACCACTCAGCCACCATACGTGCACTCCAAAGCTCAGCCGGGACATTTCAGCTATTCAGGGCTTTTCAAAATGAGGCGATAGGTACTCTCTCTTGCCCACCTCTGGTCCTTAGGGAGAACACCTGAAGAAGAGGCCACATCTTGTGAGGTAACAGAAATAACACCTTTGAGAGATCATATTATCCTCTTCTCTTGGAAGAAAGAGGGGGGGTGGAAAGAAAGCCTATGTGTTGTGGTCTAAGAACAACCATCTTTCTGCAGTTGCTTTGAAATCTGTACATATAACTGGGACTGGACTTGCTAGGTCAAATGTAGATATCTCCATCTGGGCAAGCCGCCCTAGCTGTCCTCAGTCAGTGTAGAGAAAGAAGTACTGCTAGAGGCTTGCATTATAAGGTTTACTGGATAAAATAAATAGCTTCCTAAAATTCCTGTATCTTTAACGCAGACGCCTATGTTGTTGATTTCTAGAGTTTGGCAGTGGGCTTCACCTAACTTAACTCTTTAAAAACTCCAAAAAATAGGGAAATGGAAAAAATAATGGTTATAATTTTTTTTTCTTTTATCTAACAACATTCTCATGAACTTCCTTTTGAGACAAAGTTCCAGCAGGCATGTTCTTCATGGCTGGGACCGTGTAGCAGCTGTGCTGTACATGGAGAACTGGGCCATGTTCAGAGAGGGGTGCCAGTAGCAAGTCCAGGTCCAGCCTCTAATCTCTTCATGGCTAGACATGGGGAACCTACACCTCCTTCAACAGCAAAGAGGAATGGGGCAAAGGGTTTGGAGGAGGCTTTTTGCACTTTCTCTGTTGCCACAGGTGAGTGGGATGTCGTTCGCAGGGGTCATCAGCAGATGGTTCCTCGGGCAGCTGGAAAGCCCAGGTTTTCCTGGAACATGGGAGCCTAGACAGATGTAGGTGTGTTAGACACTTAACTACAGGTTCTCTTCCTCTTCATCCCCATTACATTTGTTCCAGACTGTTTTGTACCAATTCTGGTATTCAGAGTTTTGTTTTCTCCATTTCTCAATGCTGAAATTACATTAGTCAGGGTTATTCTACAACACTTTTCATATTTAGCCGTTGCTAACCGGGTGAACTGTAAAGTCAAAATACATGGCCAGACCATCTCAGTTGTGCCTTTGTGGCCACTGAGCTTCTACTTAGGTGATACCCTCTGATTAATAAATGCACTATCTAATGCTACTACTTCTTTTTAACATAAAATCTGTGGGCTGTCCATAATGCAGAAAGAAAAATTAAGAACAAAGCCATGCCTCTCCTCTGCCAAGGTCTTCGCCTGATCTTCTGCAAGCTGGACTGCAAGGTGAAATTCATGGGAGAGCATGTGGCCTGAACAGGCCACCAACAGCTGCAAACACATCAGTACAGATGTCTGGCAACATGTAAGACTGGAGTATTAAACTGCTCCTGATTCCTTTTTCTTTTTAACAGACAGTTTGAAGTGTGAGCATCAAGCCCTGAGCTCACTGCCTCACAGCTGGGGACTCCTGGGCATGGGCTTCGTATCACAGCACCATCCATGCAAAGAAAGGACAGTGTAAGAAAACAAGTTTCTCATCAGTCAAAAATCAAAAGTGTTTTAACATAGTGGACAGTTAAATGTGACAAACCAAACCGGGAATACAAAGTGTAGAAATAGTGCCACTGCCTTACATCCCAGGTTCCACCCAACCTTTTTTCAGAGGCAGCTCCATACCTTTCCTTCAAAAAGTCTTCAAACTCTTTACAGTTCTTCCTGCCATCATTCAGATGTTGAATGATGCTGTCATAGCCAACTGTGCTTGTCAGATCCGTGCTCTGAAAACAAAAGAACAGGAGTCACATCCTCATCAGTGAAGTCCACAGCCACTGCCACCTCCAACAGTATTTGCACAAGCAGTGGCTCAGCTGGGAGCAAGTGTGCAAGTGCCTCTATGAAATAAGATCATTTTCTTTTAGGGGTGGGTGAGGCTCCGGAATGAGAACAGTGGTGGCAGTTTGGGACACGGCACTTCCTTGACTTTCAGAAAAACATAAGAGCTCAGTCCTACCATATCCTATTGCTACTCCCTGGCCTAACTACAGCTGCCCCAACAGCAAATGGCATCTCCTCCTAAGTGCTTACCCGTCAACTCTAACTTAATGAAATCAAACACTAAAAACACTCCAAGTGTCTCGATATAGCCCGTCTTACTACTGCTCCTCCTGATTTCTGCAGACATGGAGATGGATCTTGGTTAGCGTTGACTTGCAATATTCTGGGCATCACCCTCATGCCTGGCTGTAGGACCCTACATCTGGGCTGGAGGTGAATTTATCAGACCTTTCTGCACAGGATCACTGATCTATGGGCTTCTCTCTACTGCCCTCACAGTAATGTATGGTCATTGCACCCAATGACCTCTGCTGCAACAGCCTTCTCTTTGGCCTTGCAAAAAGCAGCACTGCCCCACACATCAATTCAAAACAGCGCTGCAAACATCATTTCCCTAAGTACCAGATTCTCCCTCCACCACTGCTGTACGCTCTCCGATACATCACACAGGGCTAGCTTCTTCACTCCCCACAAAAAATCAGAGCCACGCAGAGGTCCTGCCTCCATCACCCACGGTGCCAAGTCCAGTCTTCCAACCCAGGGCTCTGAGCCCCACAGTGCCACTCACACGTCCCATAGACTTCTGAAGAATCACTGCTTTCCTTCAAACTACTTCTTAAAAACTTATATTGTACTGATGCTTATTAAAAATAAAATAAAATACATACAGCAATGATGTAAGTGGGCTAGAACAAAGGTTGACTAACTCTACCCCATTCTTTCCTCATATCCATTCCTGGCAGCACCTTAGGACAAAAAATGGATTTTTTCCCTGTGCCCGTTGAGGATTTACCACCCTGGAGACCCAGGGCGAGAGCAGGGCTCCTAAGAGCTACAACAGTACAAAGAGGGATGCTCTGACCATGAGCTCTCCTTCTCTGGAAGAAGCCTGAAGCAGAAGCAGGGAGCTGAGCAGAAGGTGCTACCTGTCACCTTCTGCAAAGAGGACTAGTCGATATTGCATGGAGCAGCACAGATGGCAGAAAAAAAAAATATAGGGAAGGTAGGAGCAGATATGAAACTTAGGGCAAGGAAGCAAAAGCCACAAATAGTTATTAAGAAGCTTGAAGAGGGATAATGGCAGGATGGAGAGATTCAGGACATGGTTTGAAGCCAGGGTAAGAGTACACAGAGAACTGGTGTGAAAGTGTGGGCGGGGGGGATTTCTCAGGACTTTGTACCTGGTGCAAGAAATGAGGAGAAACGGGGCTGGTATTTGTGATAAATGAAGGATTTAATCATGCGGGTGTCCCTAAGGAGTCAAGGACTTGAACATCAGTGGCTAGAAAACAAGAAGTGAAGTGGAAATCTGGTGGAGTGGGACCTGCAGGAATTCCCCGGGTATCCCAGACTAGCTTTACTCCATCCATGGCATGCACGGGAAGAGAGGACTGTGAGAAGGACCCAAGAAGAAACCAAAACAGCTTATTTTTCTTTACAAAACGGGCCTGTCCCTCCAAAATGGGCTTATTACTGATAATCTCACAACCAGTTCTCAGTTTGCATTGCATCTTTGCTAACCAGCTCTGTGAAAAAGGAAACGTGCTTGCACTGAAGTCACTCTTCATCACAGCCGCAAAACACAGGAACGTCCTAACTTGACTTCCTACCCTCAGTTTCAAGGAAATAAAATGGATGCAGAGAACGACTGTCAGTGGCTGCCAGCCCGGGCAGGACGGAGCAGTCTGACCCACGTCGCTGCATGTCAGGGGGCATCTGAAGGCTCCTGCAATCTGCTCTTCTGCCTGGGACGCTCGGGCTCGCTGTGCCAGGGGAAAAATTGGGACCATCCCTCAAAAATGTGCACTAAACTCTTTTATTTTATCACTTCCTCCTCCAGCACAAGAATTTAATTCCAGCACATGTGTATTTCCTAAGCACCCAAGGCTGGACCAGACCTCACAGTGCAAGGTGTTATACGAAACATGGGAGGTAACAGTGACAGTGGAGGTTTCCAGAAGAGCTGCTGCCAGGCAGGAGGAGCTCCTGGCCCAGAAGGAGCTGAGCAGGATTGTATGCCATGAAACCAGCCTTCACAGCACCCCTCTGGGCATATGTTGGCACGGAAAGAATAAAAAGAACCAGTGTGACTGCCCATGGGACGTCCCAAAGGCAGGGCTGCGAGGGAGCAATGAAAGAGGAAGGGCAACACAGCCAGTACAGAGCCATGGGCGCAAAGGACAAGATTTAAAGACACAATAAACTAAGCTGAAGACAGGTATGGAGGGTGGGGAGTTTCTCCAAGCTCTCCCCAACCAGAGGGGTGTGGGAGGATAAGCACCTCTCCTCCCACCCTGCAGCACGTGGCTGTCCTGGTCCTCCCCGCTGGGCAGAGCTCTGAGCCCACGTGCTATTTAGAGGACAGTCCATGGAAACTACAAACAGATGATTTCAAGGTGACAAAGCAGCAGCTGATACTTCCCGAGGCCACACAGCTCAGCAGGACACGCCCCCCACTTCCCGACACGCTGTCTGGGTTGGTGCCATCCTCCTGACGGACTCACTAAGGAGAAGGAATTTGTGTGCTTGTTGTGATGTTTTGGGTTTTGTTTGCAGTTTTAGCCAAAAGATGTGCTAAAATACTCTAGAGGGGATCTGAAGTCCTGTTATGACCTTGTGTGAGTCACAGCTGCAAGCAAAGCTGCTGAGCTCAACATTTCCATCTTCTACCCAACTTGACATGGAAAACCCCCTCCATACACGCAACCTACAAAGCTGATAACATGGGAGAATCATAGAATTATTTATGTTGGAAAAAGTGGTTGACATCATTGAGTCCAACTGTTAACCTAACACCACCAAACCCACCACTAAACCATGTCCTTCAGCACCACGTCTACATGTCTTTTAAACGCCTCCAGGGATGGTGACTCCACCACTTCCCTGAGCAGCCTGTTCCAGTGCTTAAAAACCCTTTCGGTGAAGAAATTGTTCCTAATATTTGTCCTAAACCTCCGCTGGTGCAACTTGAGGCCATTTCCTCTCGTCCTGTCACGTGTTACTTGGGTGAAGAGACCGACCCCCCCTTGCTACAACCCTCCTTTCAGGGAGCTGTAGAGAACGAGAAGGTCTCCCCCCAGCCTCCTTTCCTCCAGGCTGAACACCCCCAGTTCCCTCAGCCACTCCTCATCAGACGTGTGCTCCAGATGCCACACCACCTCTGTTGCCCTTCTCTGGACACACTCCAGCACCTCAAGGTCTGTCTTATTGTGAGGGCCCCAAACCTGAACACAGCACTCGAGGTGGGGCCTCACCAGTGCCCAGTACAGGGGGACAATCACTGCCCCAGTCCTGCTGGCCACACTATTCCTGATACAGGCCAGGATGCTCTTGGCCTTCTCGGCCACCTGGGCACACTGCTGGCTCATACTCAGCCAGCCATCCACCAACACCCCCAGGTCCTTCTCCACTGGGCAGCTTTCCACCCACTCTTCCCCAAGCCTGCAGTGCTACATGGGGTTGTTGTGACCCAAGTGCAGGACCCGGCACTTGGCCTTGTTGAACCACATACTCTTGGCCTCGGCCCATCGATCCAACCTGTCCAGATCCCTCTGTAGAACCTCCCAGACTCAAGCAGTCTATCCCAGCCTTCCCAAAAATGAAAAGTCTGGGGCACTGCACTGCTCACGGACCATGGCTTGCAAGATCTTTATTTGTGCAGAGCTCTTAGTATCTCTCCTCAGCCTTATCTGCTTAGAGAAACACAGCAGGAGCTAGATGACTATTTTTACTAGTCAGAAACACCATGCAAAAATAAATAGCGGTGCAGTTCTTGCTCACAGTCAGTACAGCCTCAAAACCAGTCAGGGTCCTGCAGAGGTTGCTGAGATGAAGAGGAATGTGTGCGCTGGTGCCTGCAGGGAGCAGGGTGAGGACAGCAGGAAATGCTGCAAGAGGCTGCAGTTCCTCCCCATCCTGAAACCAGGTAGGGTACAACAGCACAGACAAAACTTATCGCAGGGAGGAAGAGAACTCACTGCCAGTTTACCTACCTGAGAATGGCAGCCTGTGGAAAGCAGCTTTTTGGTTAATAATTTTCCATTTGAAGTTTCTTCCCCCCCTGTGCCAACACCACCTACCCCGCACATCCCAGAGACGCAGAGACCAATCATAGAATCATAGAATCATAGACTGGTCTGGGGTGGAAGGGACCTTGAAGATCATCGAGTCCCACCCCCCTGCCATGGGCAGGGACAACTCCCA